CAATATGTGATACTTCTCCAAATTCTTCATCAATCTCATCCATATTAGCAAGCTCAGCTTCAAATGACCCAGGGTAATCATCTTCATCATCTTCATTCCTGTTAACCAATCGAATTATAATAATTAATTATAATTTGATAATAAAGGAAACAATCAATACAAGGCAGGTTTTATGCATTTTGTAATCCAATGACGAATACAAATTTTAAATTTACGAAAATGATTGTTGAAGAAATTCAAATAATTTACTTCGCTTCTCAATATCCATATAGAATACGTACTATCTACATGAGAAATACAGTCTGAAATATTAGTATAAGTCTGTAAAAGTATATTCTTTTTTAAGAATTATTGCAACAATTGAGGATTTAAATTTAGGCGGTTAGATAGTTAGGTTAAAATCGAATTTTCAATAAACACATTCAACATTTACCGATATTTTGCCTTCTTCGCAGCAGAAGGTGTGGAGAACGGTTTCTTGTTCATTTTGTCTAATTAAAGATTCGATGTCATGGATTTCAACCAACAATAATTCGACCAAGAACACTACAGATGAATGGAATAATAAAGGCGCGAAATGGATTTTGATATTTTTAGTCACAGACGATGTAAGTGCAGTACTGCCTCACCATAGTAAGCCAAGGCGGAGGCAACTGGCTTAGAATTATAAAGCAGGTAGAGAAACTGCTTCTTCTCTGATTGGTTGACGCTTCACAGCTAAATAGTGCTGCCCTCATAGTTCTAGACGAAGAGAGGAAGTGGTGATTGAGCAAGAGAACGCGACATCAGCACAACATAAGTGAAACAAGTGACACCGACGCCCAATGTAACTTGCCTTATTTTATCATGCTTGCGTCTCACTTATTCGCGCATCCGTTTTTTTCGGTATTTCATCCAAAACACTTGGCGTGATATTCGACTTGTACTTTTCGTCCCGTAAGATTCTTGACCACACAGTTCAGTATATTTGCGTACGTATTGAAACGGTGACCATTTCTACAATTATTAAAATTTTCGAAAACCCGCAGGTTGCACTTACTTCTGAAGCGTTAACCAATCAGAGAAAAGCAGTATCTATACGTAACTTTATGTTTCAGGGCACTGTGCCTGCGATATCGCTCAGTCAGTTTAGTATTCCGACCACTATTGTACAGTTGTATTATTGCTGGTCGCTAATCGCTTCTTAAGAGGTTAAACGTCGCAATAACGATGAAAGTGTAGAATATTTTGCAAAAATAAATAGTGTCGTGTTCCTGGGGAAAAAAAATGGAGAAGTACTCTCACAAGAGAGATTACGAGAGATCCAGAAAAGAAGACAGAGATCGGTATAAGCATAAAGATAGAGTTTCACGTAGGAACGATGATAGTGATCATGAGAGTCAGTCGAGAAGTACAAAATCTAAACGTAAACATTCAAAAAGTTCAAGTAGAAAATTTAAAAAGTCCAAACGTAGAGAATCTTCTGAATCGCGAGAATATCGCAAAAAATCATCTAAACATAAAAGTCGGAGAAGGTAAAGCAAATTTCATGCTTTTTTACGTTATGATTTTGTTATTTCCTATTTTTGAACTTATCTGTTTGTTATTGTAGATCATCATCATTATCTTCAACTTCTTCAAATTCATGTGATTCTAGCAGCCCATCTTCTTCAGATTCGTCCTCAGATTCTACTAAGCTCTTAGAGAAACTTCAAAAGCAACGTCAAAAGCAAGTTGAAGATAGAAAGCATCAGAAAGAAGTAATGAAGGCTACAGAAACACCGGAGGAAAAAAGATTAAGGCGTTTAAAGAAGAAAGAGGCCAAGGAACGCAAGCGTAAAGAAAGAATGGGTTGGGATAATGATTATTTACATTATACAAATACAGATAATCCTTTTGGCGATGGAAACTTACTCTCCACATTTGTATGGTCGAAAAAGCTTGAGAAAGAAGGTCTGCTAGGTGTTAGCAGAGAAGAGTTAGAGATTAGGAATAGACATAAACAAGAAGAGAATAAGAGGGAGTTGGAGAAAGTTAAGAAAAGGCGGCAAGAAAGAGAATTAGAAAGACAACAGAGAGAAGAAGAGATGACTATGCTTCAAAGAGGAAAGGAGGCTGCTCAGTTAGAACAATGGGCAAGGCAAGAGGACCAGTTTCATTTAGAGCAAGCTAGATTGAGATCTCGAATTCGTATACAGGATGGTCGTGCTAAACCAATTGACCTTCTCGCAAAATATATTAGTGCAGAGGAGGAGGTAGATGCCGTTGAAATGCACGAACCCTACACTTACTTGCGTGGTTTACACGTAAAAGATTTAGAAGATTTAATTGAGGATATCAAAGTTTATAAGGAATTGGAACGTGATAAGAACTTGGATTACTGGAATGATATTACAGTAATTGTTGAAGATGAGTTACACAAGTTGAGAAAGCTAGAAAGATCAGAATATGAAGTTGGTAAGTATTTATATTAAGTCTACATAGAATGTTTTGTTAGATGTTTCTATAATAATGTTAATTTTCTTTCATTTTTAGCTGTTGGTAGGAGAGAAGGAATACACGAATCCGTAGCTAAAGATGTAACTGCCATTTTCAAAGGAAAGACTGCATCACAGTTGGAAGCATTGCAATTACAAATTGAAGCAAAGATCACAGGGAAGCCTGAAGGTGTAGACATTGGATATTGGGAGAGTCTTCTATCCCAACTAAAAGGTAATTTACAAATCGATTACTAACATTTAATTTAAGCTGCATTTTTTAATATGCACATTTGTATATCATCTCTTTATTATTCTCAGCACACATGGCGAGAGCACGGTTGAGGGATCGGCATCAAGAAAATTTGCGCAAGAAGTTAGAAGTTTTAATTGCCGAACAAGGAGTTTCGAGAACAGAGAACGAACCTGAGGAAGAAATTCATGGATCATCTGAAGAGGAGGGTGTGGTCACAAATGTTTGTTCAGTAACAAATGAAGAAAGTCAATCAGAGTGTGTATTCTTTTGTATAGATTTTTGCTAGAAATTATTTTGGAACCTTCGACTTATTTATTATTATGTTTTATGTGTTTTCAGCGTGGAGCAAGAAACCAGTAATGCAGCTGACGATCTTCTGTCGGAATCATGTTGCGAATATGAATCGGGAGGATATTCTCCAAAGTATATACCATATTCTCAGCTTGAACCCGGAACTTTAGTCACGTTGGAAGAAGACGACAATCAGCGATTGGAGTATGCGAGAAATCAAGTACTCAGCACTGGGCGAAAGATTCAGAATGTGATGACAGCTGAGGAACAAGCGATGCACAGAGAGGCACGGAGGAATATGGGGTCCGACGAGGCTCAGTTCAGTGTCGAATCGTCTTTGGAAGCACAGATTTATTTATGGTCCGATAAATATCGACCCAGAAAGCCAAGATACTTCAATCGAGTACATACCGGCTTCGAATGGAACAAGTACAATCAAACGCATTACGATATGGACAATCCACCCCCAAAGATTGTTCAAGGTTACAAATTCAATATATTTTACCCTGATCTGATAGACAAAAACACAACTCCTGAATATTTTCTGGTAAGATCATCTGTCTGATTAATTTCACAAGTTTTTTTTGAGATTCTAATTTTAACTTGAAATTGTCATTTGCAGACACCCTGTGCTGATAACAAGGACTTTGCAATCTTGAGGTTCCATGCTGGACCGCCATACGAAGACATAGCGTTCAAGATCGTGAACCGCGAATGGGAGTATTCGTACAAACGAGGATTCAGGTGTCAGTTTCACAACAACATTTTTCAGTTGTGGTTCCACTTTAAACGATACCGATACCGCCGATAATATCTCGGTATCATGTACAATATGTGTATATATATATATATATATGTATATTTCTGCGAATATATTTTCTAGATATACAATAGATTTAATTTTGATAACGATCGTTTTAAGCTGAACCTTCACTACTTTTGCGAAGGTTTTGAATAAAATTGTCCAATCGTATACGCATAATTATACAAATTGTTTGAAATAAATATTTCACTAATATAATAGTCCGAATTAATTCTTTTCTATCGAATATTTTATTTCGAATAAAGATTATTCATTATCCCAACAAATTAATTTCGAACTAGTTCGAAATACATAGTTTTAAGAGGATATATTTATACGAAGATATTGAAGACCAGTTCAATTAGCACACAGTGATCAAAATAATTTTCTTCATGGAATAAAGATGACCGCGTGCTGTTCACCAGGTCATTTCGATCCTCCATACCCTTCCTAACTTAAGGGTGGACAGCAAGGAAAGCTGTCTAATCACGGCAGACCCAAGACAGCGCAACGACTCCTCGAAACAGTAATGATTGGGACTTAGGAGGGTGTACCACGGACGCCTCCAGAAGGGTTCTAACCTCGAGGTAAAGTTAGGAAATATCCCCAACATCTGAAAGCATTTTGCGCTGAATAACCCTGAATAAGCGAGTCCCAACCGCGCTTGCGACCGTGCCGTGAACCAAACGCTAGGTGCTTATGGCGGACCAATGAAGGTCTAAAATGAATCACAAACGACTAGGTGCCTTGATACGGCCAAAATATGCCGTTTCGGAAATCAGGGTGACAGGCCCACATCCTAGCAAGCCCAGACCCAAGGTACATAGAATTTTTGTAGATAATTACTAAATTAAATATGCAGTCTTTTTAAGAGAATATGAATGCAAGTTTCAACATTGTTTTTCAAATTTTTAAAAGTAAAAATTGTATAAAATTGTGAAATTATTCGTTGCTTTCGAAAATTCTTCTCGTTGAATAGAGCATTTATTGCTGCCTGTCATAGTTGACAAGTACATATGTACTGGAATAGCTGAATTAACAAAATTTTGTAAATTCATAAACTATAGAAAGTATTATTTAAAATGTAGCTTAGGTTTTCGAAAATTTTAATAATTGTAGAAATGATCGTCGTTTCAAAACGTTCGTAAATACGCTATATGGTCTATGTGGTCGAAAATCCTATGGGGCGAAAAGTGTAAGTCGAATATCGCGCCACGTGTTTCAGATGGAGCACCAGGCATATGGATGCGCGAAAAGAGTGAAAGCGCATGCGCAATAAAGTAAGACAAGCTTCATTGGTCGTCGGTGCGACTTGTTTTGCTTGCGGTGCTGATATCTCTCCTGTTCACTCATTGCTTCCTCTCTTTGTCTAAAACCGTGAGGGCTGCACTGTTTAGCTGCGAAACATCAACCAATCAGATTTCTCTACCTGCTTCATGCTATTAAGCTGGTTGCCCCCGTTTCGCTCACTAAGGTGAGGTACTACTGAATATGGAAAATGCAAATGAAAGACAACCGGTGTCTCCATTCCCCACCACCTCGCTCTAGAAAACGATGGTGGCGGTTTACAGCGAGGTAAATAGGCACTCCGCCGCGCTATCTTCTCCACGAACGTGCTATAGCTATCGTATTTTTGCCCTGTGGGAGAAATAGCTGTTTGAAAGGCACCATAAGGACAGTGTCTACGCTTGGCTTATGGGTGAGAGAGGGTAATGGGTCAAGCCGCAGCTTGATCCGCTAGCGAGGGTCGATATAGAAATCTTTTCTGCTCTGATTGGCTGACGATTCACTACTGAGCAAGGGAGTAAGAAAAGCGTGCAAAAGTAGGTCCCATTACTGTACCAAAACCGTAAGGGGAATCTTAGACTGTTCGTCATCTTTACGTAGTGCCCTAGTGCTGCTATCTGTTTCTTAACTGGGATCTTGAAACTTGAATTGGGCAATCCAATATAGTGTTGCTATACANATTGTAGAAATGATCGTCGTTTCAAAACGTTCGTAAATACGCTGGACTGTGTAGTCGAGAATCCTATAGAGCGAAAAATGCAAGTCGAATATCGCGCCGTGTGTTTCAGATGGAGCAACAGGCATATGGATTGGCATATGGACTTGATATAACCTTGAGCATTTTGGAAAATTTATTAGAGGTTAAGAAAAGAATATGATCGAGCAAAGAGGAACCTAAGAATCAAAATGAAAAGCTGAGGTAGAAAGAGGTATTGTCATAAAATTGTAGCCGATATTGGTAAGTACAATTATCGTTTATAACATTTTCTGTTATGATTTATTTTTCCACATTTGTGTTGTTTTGACAGACATGTTAAACTTACTTTACAATCAACAGAAGAAAAGCTTGCGAAGTCTCAAGGAAAATGATTGAAAGCTGTTGTATCAAGACACCAGGATTGTTGGTTTACCTCAAACATGGGCAAGTTGTTGATAATGTGTATGTTTTTGCAACTGTGCTTTGGAGCTGAATCCAGATAATGCAGTAGCTTATAAATTTGAAGAAAGAACATATCATTTGCAGGGAAAGTTTGAGGAAGTGATTAACAATCTCAAGATATTTGAAGTACATAATTAGTTTTGGATGAGAGTAAACTGATGAATGGTTGTGTAAAGCTGTACAAAATATAAGTGCCTTTTCTTTCAGGGTTCTAATCTTTATGATATGCATAGAATGAATTATATATACACATATACATATATGTATACATATACTCATATATGTATATATATAAAATATAAGTACATAACTATAGAAAATATTTACATATATTGAGACTATCAATTACTTTTGACTTTACCTTTTAATTGATGCATTTTGTTATTTCTTTTTTTGTAAGTATCTTGTATTTGGGTTCGAGATGTCACATTTACACAAATGAAAATCACAACACACATTCCTATTTGAAAAGTACATAAATTAAATCTACTTAACTTAGATACATAAAGTAACATTTACATGAAACAACAACTTATATTCTCTAGCAAAGTAAATATTTCAATGTATTAAATGTACTTAATATATTTTTGCATTGAATGACAACACTGAGGGTGGTAATAATAGTATCAATAATTCGCTGAGTTGCATAAAGCCAATCACACGCGTGAGCATCAACAACACAACGCAAACTGATAAGTATCTTTTTCCGAGAGGCGTTGAACTTGAACGAGGTACATGAAAAGTCAAACAATTTTACTAAATCAAAACAAGTATATTCATTTACATTGAAAATATAGTTTGTGTGTATCAACGTGGGAACATGTCATATCAAGTAACTAGGAGTACTGCTTCTTCCTTCTTTTTTTTAAATAAATATTTTATAACTTTTAATAAGAACACAATTCGTTTATACAAGGTATTTTCACAAAAGCCTCAAAAAGAGATCATTCTTATCTCTTTCTTAATGGAAATATTTTATATATATGTATATAAATATATTTTTACTTATTACACGTCGGTAATATGTAAATTCTCGTTACCGTCTCACGATCTTCTGACGGTCGCAGTGTCACAGTGTTGCGTAATTAGTCGACGCAAGTATTACACTAAGTTTTAAAGAAGTCTATAGCGCGAGTTCATCTTATTATCATCTTTTTGTAAACGTCAGTAGGACCCACTATTGCTGTGATATGTTTCTTTTCCAAAAACCGCATGACCGAAGCTGTGTTTGAACACGATCAAGGGGAACTCACTGTCCATTTTAGATCGGAATGGTAGCACTCTTATCGTCTTCCAAACACTTAGCATCTTGAAATCATCGTCTTCCAATCCAGCGGTGCACTTAGGGATACGTTCAATATACGTGGTTTGATTATCTACGAAATCGACAGATATACCCTTCGTACCCAAAAAAATACTGTGTATCCCTTCTCATCCTTAAAATGACTTATTTAGCAGACAATGCAAGGATGTGTTCCAGGAGTTCTGTTTGTTTCTTCGATCGGGTCTTACGTTCTAGGACCCGGTTGAAATTTATCTCGAAGGGCGATCCAACCCTATAGCTTATTGTCCCACAGGTAGAAAGTTCTCTGCAACGTCTCAAGTATGGAACTTACACTAATGTTCATCGCCTTTCACTCGTATGGTTGATTAGTTTTTTGTACAATTTGCCCTCACCCCATAGATTCTATGGCATCAAGAGCTCTGCTTCAGAACATTCAACTACACTCAACTGGGTGGGCTGGTCTCGTACTCGTGTATGATTTGTTCTACTGATTTTTTGTATTTGCCTACCAGCTCGGGTAGGTCGTAGGCGATAGCTACGTCTAGTCTATTGATTGGGCAACCACGGAAGTAGGTGCACGTGGAGCTCAACAGGGGGAAATCGTATAGAGGATTCAACCGGAAGAAGTCTCGGTAAACATCTGGATCTGGCAAGTCATAGCGTGAGATGTTCTTCAGAGTACTGAGCCCTTCGTAGATATGATAATCCTGGGGATTCTCAACGATTTTGTCGCTGATCTCCTTCTTGTTTCCAAAGAATGTCTTGTGGTTGTAATAGGTGGTTAGATAGCAGTCTACCATTTTAGCATGATTACGCACTCGCACCTGTAACATATTTAATATAGTTTCAGAACTTACGGGGCTAGCAGATGTGTTTCTAATCGATGACAAGTGTAAAGAATTTGTCCATTATATATTTGTCCCTTAGGAGTGACTTACAGCGAATCTTCTGGCGCTTGCAATTTTGTGTTCGACTTGTTTGTCAATGGCAGTACGCAGATCACGTAGGAATGCTCGCTCCTGAGCGTATAGCAATCTAGTCGGTGCTCCAGCTTCGTATGGTATCGACCATAGCGATGTGGAGTACATGATCGGCGGCTCGGCGCTGGACATCAGCGGCGATATGTTCCAGATCAGAGCTCCTTGCACTCTCATGAGTTCCTCTGGTTTCACTTGATCAGCTTTGTTCAGAATGATGCGCGTCTGTTTCAGGAAGTTGGTGTTACACATTAACTGGCACGACCTCGGATCAGTTATATGCTCTTACCTGGTACTCCCTCCCCTTCAGCTGGTCGAGGATCGCTTCCGTTTCCGGTCCGACGTCCAACTTAGATGGGTCGTAGACTAAGAATATTATGTCCGCTCGGTCGATGAACCACTGACACGCGTCGTTGAATGGGAACAGACGTTGTACCTGCTTTCGAATTTCTAAGATCCCCGGTATCTCGACAATATTAACCTGGTATCATTCAAGGATTGCATAAGTAGCAGAAGGTTCCGGATCTGCGTCCGCAAGGTGACGACTTAGACAAGCGCTTCTTCAGCCAAATCAAACTCAAAATGATCTATAAGCTTTGTCTCCTTGATTGCGATACATGCTCCTCGTTTTTTAGGTCAGGTTCAAGGTCATTATATAGATCATTACGCTGGATTGACGAATAAATCATTGTATAAGAGGTTACCGTCTTAGTAACAATTGTAGGGATTGTTAATCTCGATTAATTCGGTCTAGAAAGTAGTTGTCCAGGTCGACATCCTTTTTCTTGAACGTCTGTTCACTTACTTTTTCTAGCAGCTTGCTGTCAAGTCGTAAACCTTTGAGGCGGTCGAGCAATCCTTGTCCAAACTTCTGCAACCCGGAGAAGGTCCAGTCGGCGGCCAGTTGGGTGCCATCGAGGATCTCCTCTTCCTCGCCGTGCATGAGAATGTTGAAGTAAGCTGGGGACGGCTCGGCTCCTGTGTCATTTCCATTTCCCGTTTTGCATTGCTCCTCTAAGCACTCTATCAAATCACCTAAACACTATCTATACAATCATGCTCCTCTAGCATGCTTAGTCTACCGCTAAGAAACCTAATCGAATTCCGACCGGGTCGGGTCAGGCATCAAACGAATTCAAACAAGAAACGTTGTTGTGAAACAATGCCGCGTTCCCATGGCTACTTACGCACCTGTCCGTAGCGATGTCTGTTCGTACTCGATGTCGAGCAAATAGTTTATGATTGAGGACTTCCCCCCGCTCCATGGACCCATGAAGAGAACCAATGGCTTGGAGAAGATCTCTGGATCTACAAACGCAACGAACAGTATATTAAAATACGATAAGAAGTGGCAACGTCTACGAGATACTAACCACCAAAGTGCCTATTACTTAGGTCCCTGTATTTGTACAGTGACTCCAAGGGTTGTATAGCATTGTCGTAAACTCTCTTCAGTTCCTTCAATACATCGTAACCGATCTTCGAAATGGCACGTTCCTTCGCCTCGTTCTCTTCGTCAAGCTTCAGCAATTGATTGATGTGATCTCGTGGTCGTAGGTTCTCTGGTACCACGATTTCCCGAATCAGGTCTTCCTCGGGAGTAGGCTCCTCCTCGCTCTGTTCCGCGTCTTCGGAGGCCTCGGCTGACTCTTCACCCGCGTCCTCAGCCGCGCCTTCTTCACCAACCTCTCGTCTAGCTCGAGATTTCGTTTTTTCAGCTCCTTCTTCCGCACCTTCTTCTTCCGACTTGGTTTCCTCTACAGATTCTTTTCCCTCCCCATCATCAGCGGACTTGTCCTCTTCGGCAGACTTAGCTTCTTTCTCCTCCTCAGATTTAGTTTCCTCCGTATCCCCTTCCTCCGCCGATTTCGCTTCATCTTCTGCAGATTTTCCTTCCTCCTCCTTACCTTCCCCACTTTTCTCCTCCTGCGCTTCGTCTACTTGATCCTCAGAGCTCTCACCTTCACCTTCACCTTCTTCACTTTCACCTTTACCTTCACCTTCACTCTCACCGCCACCTTCACCCTCACCTTCCTGGCTCTCTTCCTTTCCTTCCTCTCCACTCACTTGCTGTTCCTCCGATTGGGTCTCGTCTTCTGCTTTGCTATCGTCCTTCGCTTCTTCTGTATCTTCTTTAGAACCCTCTCCAGCTTCACCTTCTTCCGCGGAAGCATCCTCCTCCGCCTTCGAATCCTCTTCTTCAGTTTGGCCCTCCTTCTCCTCTTCGGACTTCACCTCTTCGGTTTGCGCTTCGTCGGATTTCTCCTCGTCGAGTTTCGCTTCTTCGGCTGATTCGCCCGCGGCTTCAACTTCTTCGTCGGATTTTCCATCGTCGGCTTTAGATTCCTCGTCGGATTTTCCTTCGTCGGCTTGAGCTTCTTCGTCGGACTTGCCCTCGTCGGCTTGTGCTGCTTCTTCAGATTTCTCTTCGTCCGTCTGCGCCTCCTCCTCGCCAGATTTTTCCTCGCCTACCTGCGTCTCTTCAGACTTCTGGTCATCAGTTTCTTCGTCCGTTCCTTCACCGGACTTCTGCTGATCCTCTTCTTCGGTCTGATCCTGGCCGGAGTCCGCGGCCTCCTCTACCTTCTCGGAAGACTGTTCTTTATCCTCCTCTGTTCCCGCGTCTTCTTCGCCAGATTTCTCGGCATCTTCAGTTTCACCTAAACGCACCATCGCTACAGTGATGATTTTGATACTTCAAAGCTCAAAGATCGCCTAGTCTCTACTCTACCTTCTTCGGCTTCGGCGCTCTGTTCTCCCGTATCTTCAGCGCTTTTCTCAGCCTCCGCGGACTTGTCAGCTCCCTCTTCAGTTTGTTCAGCGCTTGCTGCAGTTTCAGCATCTTCTACCGACTCTTGCTTGTCCTCCTCGGTTGCCAAATCTTCTCCCGAAAGATCGGCTGTTGGTTCGCCTTCCTAGAAACAACACCGGTAGTTTAACAGCGATCGATCCAGAGAATGATCAGTGTTGGACGCTGGATCTTTTTATAGAACTAGGAAAAATTTACCTCTTGACTCGTAGGTGTCCCATCGTCTTCCTGACTTTCTTTACCGACGTCTGCCTCAGCCTCGGCACTGGTCTGCTCCAAAGACCCTTCAAACGAAACGTTCTAGAAATTGCTGTGCTCCAGTCGCGCGCTCCTCAGCATCTTAACATTACCTGTACCGAGGTCCTTTAATGCTTTCTCAATGTATGGTCGACACAGATCCTCTGGTGGCACCTCTAGCTCCTCTTCGCTTTGCACTCCTGTAACGAAATTGCTTACAATTGGATCTTGGATCAACTAGATCAAGAGATTGTTTTCTTTCTACACGATTGGAACATTTAAAGGCTAATCTCAGAAATAAAATTTGCGATTCTAAATCATTTTGGAGTTCAAATCCTACTTTTAGCAAGTAGTTTAATCGGTGATTTGGGGATCAGAGGACAGCTTACCGTGGGAAAATAGAAAAATCATATGTAATTGCTAGGATAGCCTAAGTTAAACCTGACCAGTAACGCTTTGGGTATCTTTAATCGAGTTATGAGATTTGCAGAGTGCGAGTGTTTTCAGATTACAATGAACTGTAATAAGCGAGCTAGTAGCAAGAAAATTGATCTGTATACCTAAAACAATGCTTTAGGGAATTCTCGAAGAACGTTTACAGGGACATCGTCGGAGCATTTCGTAGTTTTGCAAACGCCGAACGGAACTCGACACCAGTCTGGTCTAGAGAGTCGGTGTCCGGTGTCCTGTGACAGTTCCGCGACCACGGCAGACCTCCAACATTGATTTCATTAGGGACCTAAGGACGCGCTAATAATACCAGCGGGTCCCGATCGGGAGGAACGGCTCTAAACAAACAGAGGGAGGCGCGACGACGCGCTGGTTGACGTAGAAATATGCAAAACACACGATCGCGTCGGACATTAATAAAAGATATTTGCGTTGCGCGGGAGTTCGCGCGGCCGATCCCCAACGGCTGGCTCGATTCTATGCCGATTCCTCGGCTGCCAGGAATGTTCATCAGGAGTTTTCACTGTGCGGCGGACCCCCGGTGCCAAAAGAAGGCGCGGGGTATTAGATAACTCGAGCCGCGCAGCCGAGGGTTTAACGCCACGCGACCACCGAAAATATCTGACCCAAGTGACGCAAGAATCTTGTCAAAGTCGTTACACGACCCGTTCGGATGAGCGCGTGCTCGGACAATGACAGGTGTTCGGGGAACAACACTGCTGGTCGCATTGTCACGACCGGTTGATAAAGGACCGCGCTGACGTTCTTGGAAACGCGGGACCTGGCAGGGATCGAAAATAACGAGTCATGCAGATGTTCTCACAATTAACATTTTGATAAGGTGGCTGCGAACTCTCGCTGATATTTCGTGTACCGCTGACTTCCTGTCCAACCACGCGGTCCATAGATCGTCTATAGATCTAATAGATCGTTTCATAGATCTAATCTCCGTGAACGATTGTCCCCTAGATCCGTACGCGCGAAATTAGCGCCCGTTCATGCGAGCGAGATAGTAAGATTCATCGCGGTTCTCATTTCTTGTCATTTTCATCGATCTCGTGAGCTCTATCCAAGATATTGTTGTACGCAATGTATACCGTGATGATAAATTAGGAACTCGGCGCCAAAATTTGCGACACCCGAAATGTTAAAAATGTCGATTATCGGAGACTGATCGATGGTTGACGCCGAGCGTTCATCGAGTGGCTGGCTGTCGGACTTCGTGTTTCGACCGTTTCGTCCAGTCGAATTCGAACATAATTTCGACAATTATAGAATGAGAAATCTGAAACCATTCGAGCAGTAGTATCAGCGTTGAATTAGAATGTCGGAAGCGAAACTGTGGTGGGCCGATGTTTAGGTGAACGGGCCAGATTAGACGTCGTGGTTGTTACTTTAAAGCAACATTGTTCCTTCGGGACTCCGTCCGAAGGACGACGTGTTCCAAAATCTGTGCCCTGGTGTCACAATACGCGGCGCGGAACGTAAAATCTCGGTCGATGAAAATGTCGATATCATCTTTCTAGGCAGTACCTGGGACCAGGCCGGTTTCTAAGTTTAGCGGCGAGTAGGCGGCTTTGAGCCGAGCAACACTTGAAAATATTTATATATTCGATGAGCGAAACGTATTTTTATCGGTTATTCGCCGCGGAAAAGTGCGAACGACGATACAGATCATTCGCGGTTGCGACAAAGTAATTTGGGCCGTACGGGCACAGAGTCCCCTTCGGGTAGATGTCCTTCTACGCTGATCGATCATTTTATTTTGCTATTATTATCAAATCCTTAATCGATCCTCATTTTTTCAGCTTAATGTTATTCTCTCAAATTGATTAGACGATCAAGAACCAATATAGCGGACAGCTAAGCAGTTAGATCTGTAATTTGCATTATCGAAGACGAAAGGTTATGTTGTGGGACTAATGTACGCGAAATTCTTGAGTTTATGCCAATATATCAACTGTGACAATATAGATTTATTAACAGGAAAATTCTGATTGGAAATGAAAAGATACACAAAGATAGAGATACACAAACATAAAATATTAATCGAAACCCATTTTTAACCCCTGGCGAAGGGGTTGAAAGCGAAATTATTGAGAAAAAGATCAAATCGAGAATCTAACTGAAGAAAAGAAGGTCGAATTAAGAGTTTAGATAAAGTGCCTACAAAAGTATCTTCCAGAAAATTGGCAAACAATTATTATAAAGGTGAAAGTGCCATTTTACTGGAATGGTGTTTGAAAATAATTCCTGGGTAGCCTTAATGCTTAACATATGTGCGTAAAAAGCATGATAGCGGGTGAATATCCTCTGTCAACAGTCAAAGCCAACGCTGACGTACCAAACATTTTTCTCGTGGCTGTATTAACAGTAAACCGTTGACGGTCTCCTTGAAACAAAGCTGACGAGGCATTTGAACAAATTCTGCGCGCAAGACTGCGGCAATTTTCAAAGTGAAATTTAATTGGTCGCCACGCGAGACCAACAAATGAGAAAATACTACGCGGCTTACGTTTGCGCCCAGCCCGTAAATTTTCAACATTACATCACACGCGCTGCTACTTTTGGCACGGCAGCTCGGGTTTTATCATTTTATGTGCTTCGGCCTTTTGTTGTCCAAGCGACGAACGCCAAGCGGCATTGCAGGAAATGGGACTGGCGAGTCGATGGGGTCAGTTATAGAACTCCTAGATCCGTGGCTCTCCTTCAACTGATCATTTAAACCTGCTTCTCAATTTGCACAAATTTATACTTCACCGTTGCTCGTTTTGCGAGCGATTATGCGTTCACTGCGGATGTTTCTGCGATTGCTCGTTCACGAAGACTATTTTGCGATTTATCGGAGCTATCAAATTGTTTATTCGGCCCGATTCGAAATAGAAAGGTCACTGTTGAAGCTCCAATTTTTCGCTCATCGTTGGTTTCGCTGGATTCTTTAATCCTTTCTAGAAGTTTCCTAGATGGCAAATCGAATTTGACCCTGATTTTCGTTTCTTTAAGGCTATATATGAAAAGTAGGATTTTTGTAAAGATTCTCATCACGATCATAAGTCGGCTACAACCTTGACGAATGTTTAGTCGATCCTCGTTGATTTTCCGAAGGTTTCCGTGTAAACGATACCCGATCGCGACGAATGTATTAATTTTGGTCTCGAATGATCTGTAAGACAACATGTTGAAATTGTGCGGTCGGAAAATAATCCGCGAAAATGTCAAGATACAGGTAATGGAAGCAGAGGTAAGCAGCTGTCGTTTGGCAAGCATAGTGAGGATAAAGATAGAATCCGAAGTCTTGCCGCGGTACGCGGCTCGCATAGTCTTTAATCCCTTCGTAGAAAAATCGAATCTGATAAAAAATATCGATATTCGTTTGACCGACTAAATTTTTCTAAACCTCGGAAATTCCAGAAGCAGTAACAAACGTGAACTCACAATTTCAATAATGTCTTCCCTATCGAAAATAACCGCAAAATCACCTGCTAACACTTTTTAAAACGAAAATTCTATTATTTACAAGATTAAATACTGAAAGCAGAGGAATACATTTAAAGATAAAAAAGAAAACGCTTTCGAATACAATAGACGAGGCTCGCATTTGAATCAGTTGAATTTAACAGAGCGAAATTTATTTTTAACTAGTAAAATATACGGGAAGATCGATCGAATAGGAAACCAACAAGATATTTCAAAGCATTGTTGGCATACGCATAGTGTTCTGTAAGATATTAGCTTTCTATTTTTGTTGCAAAATTCTGTCGGAAGCATCATTAAACTAATGCAATACACTCGGCGCGGTGTGCATTTGAAAATAGCTGGATGTTAATTTAAATATAATTTGGTACGATTTATTATAGATTTGAAAAAGCGGCCGTTTTCGGGTATTGCTCGTTTGTGGTAGCCGGTCGAAAAATGTCGACAGATTCGCGAACACCGACCGCGAATTACGGACAGGCACCTTTAAACGGAATACACGGCTAGATTCGCGAAATTTAGAGCGAATCTGGCACGGATTTACGCCCGTCCTTATGTAATTATTTGCGAGTTGTTGACAGTCGGTTTCCATCGATTCCCAAAATAACGGATCCTTGAATCCACAATCGGACACTTTTTCCTCGATCGCCGACCCGATTAAACCATCCTCAATTATACGCATACTACGTCACGAGCAGTGTTGCATGTCCAAGACTCTCTATGTCTCTTACTGTAAAAACGCGACAATTCAAACACAACCATACGAAGCCAACGAAATGAAAATAATAAGGTAAAAGCAGACTGAACAACGTTTTCTCATCGATTGAGAGAAGAGATTAGAAATGGATTCGTTTCTGATCGAAGGTGCTCGGAAAAATCCGATCGAGTGGGTGGAGAATTGTTGCGTCAAGACAACGGAATCGTTCAACAAGTGTCACGTGCGACGAACAGACGAGATGCGGTACCGTTTAATGATGTATCGTCGCGATAATGACGCAACAGATCGCAGGTTCATCGGTTCGATGTCGAACAGGCCGAACGAGCCAGGAACCGGTGACGCAGACTGGCGATTTTACGTAACATTGACCTTCGTCAGTCGTCACCGGTTCGTCAGCACGTCGACCACATCATCGACCACTAAAGCTTCGAAAAAGCTGCGCTGTCCAAATACACAAGGAACCATCCAAAACTTACAATCTTGCTTTCCGAGACGGCGAAGACTTCCGAAATACCCGGGGGAGATTATTGGCAACTTCCACGGCTAAAATGATCCACCGATGCTCCCAAATGATAACCACAAGCTCAATTTTGTTCGAGTACGCTGCCTCGATGAGAGGTTGAAGTTTCGAAGAGATCGTTGATGCGCAGCTTTCAACCCTTTGCCGTGCTAAGAGCTATCCATATCGCTCACGTAGCCTAATTAGGCTGATAAGTTTATATAATAATTGCGAATTAATTATTTACGGTGCACAAAATTAATAAGAGGAAAAATTCCGAAAAACCGATCAATGGGAAGACCGACGAATTCTCAGTTTATCGGAGCTTTCGACGATGATTCATCGATCGAAGCTGGGACCTGCATCGATCGCGTATTGATGGTAGCAGTTTCCAAGGGAATCCTAAGCTTCGCTATTATATTTAGCAACGCTGAGTTCGTAACTTATCGAATTTGTTTGCAGAGACGAGAATGGCGGAGAGGAAATTCGGAGCCCGCGACAGCTTTAATCATCGGCACTCGTCACGAGCCGCGGCGCGTTGATCTTTATTTATACCATAATTAACGCAAATAAACGACGCGAAGTCGGGGACCAGGTGCATCTTAAAAAGAATCTGTCGCGTGACAGCCCGGTAAAAATAACGCGATAACAGGTCACAGTATTATTGTTGTTTGAATTCGTTGCGAACCCTTCGAACGAAACAATTAAAAACTGAAAATTAAACTTACGATAGCAAAATTTGTTCCCCGTAAATTGGCTAATTTCTTTCGACTGGCACGTAATCTTAACACGTTGATTTTAGAAGGTACTGAAAAGGGCGCAAATTCAAGAGACCAGGGTATGCGACCAAGGATCCAGATTTCCGGACTACCGGCAACTCCAATTAACCTACATTGTAATTATTAAATCGCTACGAAGTAAAAGAAACTGGTGCCGAGTCTAATCAAGCTGACTACCAGTGCAGGGTCAAAAGTTATGTCTATTGATTCTCGAAGCTCGCAGGAATGGAGGATCCAGACCATTGTTGGAGCCCAGCCATGCCTATCCAAACTAGAGGTTGGAGTGCAAGGGAACTAACCAGTTAATTTCATTTCCACTTACTTTCAAACACTATTTAATCTTTAAAAATCACAGAAAGAAAGAGTCCAGGTTATCAACATCGTTGCCGGAATTGTATCTATCTACTAGGTAGCTATGGAAGCAAGATCATTGAAGGCTAAAGGGGCTGACTAATTCAAAATGGAATACAGGAACTAAGATATTATAAAATGGTATTTTCACTAACTTTCATCTTCTATTTCTTGAATATTCCATTATAAATTAAATCAAATTAAGGATGCAAGATTTGTAGAGGCCAGCTATGCCTGTTTAGTGGAGGTAATAAAGTCCCTACCCTAAGTGGAGGCAATAAAGTCCCTACCCTAAGTGGAGGCAATAAAGTCCCCCGACACGAAGATACTATGAAAAGCCGCTTTCACTGACTTCCCGGACTTCCGGGACTTCCGGTTTACAAGAAGGATTCTGTCGAAGACGATGGTAGAGGCCACACAACTATACCTAATCGCTGGGTAGCCGGAGACCTAAAGACCGTTGGACCATCGGTCTCCCCGGGTCTGGAGCAGTTCCAGGCTCCTCGGGTCGACGCGTTACGTCACCGAGGCAGCTCCGAGGGAACGGTAACAATGCTAGATAGCCCAAGGTCGTCACTCACCCTGTAAGGCGACGGCTAGAAGGGCCACGAAGAGGCCCACGAAGAACGCGGGTCTCAGCCGCGAGCCCGTCATCTCGTTTCACTAGGCACTACACGATGAGAGCCAGGGCTGGCAGCTCGTCTCACTCGATAGTCGCCTTCGACTCCAACTCGCCCGCGAGGAACTGGCATTGTCACTACCGCCAAACCCCGACAGACGCCCCTCCTACTTCTTCACCCCACAGAAACGACGATGCACGCCGACTATACCGACACACGCGTTCCTCAAACCGAGCACACTAGTCCGTTCGCGTCGCTTTTTCAGCCTGTCTCCTCGGCACTCTGATCTCTGCTCCTCTGCTCTCTCTCTCTCTCTCTCTCTCTCTCTCTCTCTCTCTNCTCGCCCGCGAGGAACTGGCATTGTCACTACCGCCAAACCCCGACAGACGCCCCTCCTACTTCTTCACCCCACAGAAACGACGATGCACGCCGACTATACCGACACACGCGTTCCTCAAACCGAGCACACTAGTCCGTTCGCGTCGCTTTTTCAGCCTGTCTCCTCGGCACTCTGATCTCTGCTCCTCTGCTCTCTCTCTCTCTCTCTCTCTCTCTCTCTCTCTC